ATAAGACAGAACTCCTAAGATCAATAGGACGATCAATCTAAAAGATGGTTGTTACCGGTTGAACCCTGATTCTCCAAAAAATTTATAAATAGGGGCATCATCTCTCTCTCTGTCTCTTAAGTTCTCATCTCTCTCTAAAGGAGATAGGGGTACGCCCCCATAAGAGAACATCAAGGTGGCCACACTCTACTCTACAGATTTAAGGCACCAGAAGCCAAACAAGCACTACAAGCGAAGGGCTGGCCCAATTATCGTCACAAAAGACAAGCAAGTTTATACGTACTAAAAGACAAAACCTAAGATAAAAAAATTCAGAAAAAATGGGAGAAAGTGATTATTTACGAAGGTTGTTCTGTAGAGTCTTGATGGGCCTCATAATCAATGTGCTTGAAGAACCATTAAAACATATAAGAATTTGTTGTCCATGAAGAACCATTGAAACAGAACAGGACCTCAGAAAACTTGATGTGTTTGTATAGAGATCTCTATTCATTAAAAAGAAGGAAAAAAATCAATCCCCAACCAGTGTGTTGGTGGGCTTAAAAAAAAGCTCCAAACTTGAACAGGTGTCTTCTTCATAAAGAGATTGTGAAACCACCTTCCTCATGGCTAAGAGAGATTGTTTAACATGTTGAGAGAGACAGATGGTAGAAAGCGTTGCAAGAGAGAAAATGGTTCGTTTTTTAGAAAGAGGACGAGCCTCTGCTGCACAGGCACAAGCCCTATCATGTGTCTTCGTCACAGTGAGAAAGATTGTGAAACCTAATAGGTCCTTAAATTGAGAAAGAAAAATGGTGGGAAGCATCATAAGAGAGAGAAGGGATTCTCTTTGAGAGAGAGGTGGAACCTCGGGAGAGGGAGAAATAGACGAGAGAGGGAGAGAGACATGCAAAACAATTTGACGAAGAAATTTAATCCCACAAAATTCAACTAAAAACTGAAATTTTTGGGGATTCAAATATTTGAAGTTTATTAGAATATTAGAAGATATGATTGGACCCTATCAATCAAGGTGTATGAATTCATATAATTCAAATTATAATAAATTCTATATTATCATGAAATATTGGCATATCAGGCTGCTATATAACATTTCTTTAATTTTTATACTAAAAATATATATTTAAGCCAGAACTCTTTGTCAAATCATTGTTTTTTGGTAAAATTATAGATACCCCCAATTTTTACCTTCCCGGTATCCTCCCCTACCCAACTTTTGATGCTACACTGCTAACTCCAACACTATTTTTTTTTGCAGCAACCCCTAAAAAAAGCTAATTTTTTTAGATCAAAATACCCTCATTGTAATCCATGGTTCTAAAACATGATGCCTAACATGAGTCAGTCCTGAACAAAACTATGTTGGATGGCACAAAAATGTGTCGGACCAAAATATGTTGATTATAGAGCCAGTTCAGCACAAAAAAGTGCCAGATTGGCTCTGTACAAGTTTTGCATGTGTTTTCCAATATCGCATTGCAAATCCTCCTTTGTTATCAATACATATATGATATGATGCATATGCACTTACCGTTATACTTGCTTGTACACATAATTTGTAACTAAAAGAGTGAAGTACAAACAAATAGGTAGATGAGATGCTCCTTTCCTTAAAGCAGAACAAAGTGTGTGCCCCTTTCTTTCATATTACGAATGAATACTCATTTAGATGGAAGAGATTAAAAAATAAGGAAAATATCTCCATAGACCTTATTTTCAACTTTCATTTATTTCTAAACCTAAAATTTCAAAACCTATCTTCTAACCCCCCCAATAACTTTGTCTATTTTTATTCCAACTTTTAACCCAAACAAATTTTAAAAGAAATCTTTTTTCTAACTCTCACTCTCCTCACTTGTTTCAATCTCTCTCCACGTAAATCTTCCCAACCCCTCTTTATCTCTACTTCCCCAAACCCCTCTTTCTCTCTTTCTTTTTCTCCATCCTCTCTCTCTCTCTTGTGATTCCCCAGAGCCTGAACATGTTTAAAAACTCTCTCTCTACTATTTTGAAAAACTCTCTCACTACTTTCTCTCTCTAGTGAAATGAGACATGATAGTAGCTTTAATACCACGACTGCTTCGACAGTGCATTCTCCATGGCACTCTCCTGTGCCTTATTTGTTTGGGGGCCTTGCTGCTATGCTTGGCCTCATAGCATTTGCTCTCTTGATATTGGCCTGCTCATTTTGGAAGCTCTCTGGTTAGTTTGAGAGTGGGGAGTCAGATTTTGTAGAGAACAATGGGAAAAAACAGGGAGAACCCATCAAGGTTTGCCAGATTTGGAGCAAGCCGATGTTCTTGGGTGGAGAGAGAGAGATGGAGGGGATGGGGAAAACGAAAAAGAGAGAGATAAAGAGTTAAGGGAGATAGAGAGAGAGGGGTTTGGGAGGTGAAGAGAAAAGAAATCATTTCAGGAGAGAGAGAAGGGTTTAAAAATAATATCTTTTAAAAAATTGTTTGGGCTAAAAAAATTAATAAAAAATGAATAAAATATGTTTAAGACGTTAGGAGATATAATAAAGTGAATTTCTATGTAGTAAGATAGGTTTTGCAACCTTGAGTCAATGGAGAAATGAAAGTTGAAAAGAGGGTCTGTAGAGATATTTCCCCTAAAAAATAATGAATAGCAAGATGAATGGGATGGAGGAAAGAATGATGTAGAAAATAAGGATTCTCTAAAAAATATATGACATTGTCCAATAGAAAGAAAAGGATGTAGCGAGTTTGATTTGAAAAATATCATGGGCATGTCTACCCCGGCTTCTGATCAATTGAGATCAATTTGAATTGAACAGCTGAATCACAAAAATATGCTAGCCCGGCACAAGTTGAATATAGAGCCGCGTCGGACTATGTACAAGTGTCGGTCCAGCACATTCAATGTTGGCTCGGCCTAGAGAAAGAAAATGGAAAACGTGGAGGGGAGTTGCAAAAATGAAAAAGAAAAAACCAGTATAGGAATTAGTAGTGTGGTATCAAAAGTTTTTTTTTTTTTTGGGGCTGGGGAGGGAGGAGGAGAATGCCTCGAATTACAAATCTGGGGTACCCATAATTTTCTATTGGTTTTTTTAGTTAAAAAATAGATTTGAACTTATGCTTCGGAAGCAGATGATAAATCAATTTAATACCATTATTTTCCTTTTGCTTTGAATATATCTAAATTTAAAATGACGATTTCAAAGTAAAAGCGAAAACCACTTACCTTGTTTTCGCCACTTTAGATCTCAAAAATTGCTTAAACTCTTTTCTACCCATTTCTAGATTAGACACAAATCAGAAAATAAATCTCCCATTCGACATTGAGAGTTCAAAAAGTTCCCAATATAGTCCAATCTCTAACAATAGCCCTCGTCAGAGTTCATGAGCATTTCTCTTTGGACTAGTTCATGGAAACAACGATCTAAGAACTTTTTAGATTAAAAGGCCCCGTTTTCGTTGCTGGTGAGGATCGAGGACCATGCGTTCTATTCAATCTGGATTGTATTTGCAGTTAATATAATGGACCTAGGGAATTGCACTTTCTTTTCTCTAAAATTGTTTATAGGACACATTTTGTGCGGCTCGGATAATCTATAATGTCCAATATAATTGGATAATATGTATCATAATAGTGGATTTTTTTATGGAAAAGTATAAAAATGAGAATATTTACCATTAATACAAGGTGGTTACATTGATCTTGACCATTGGATGTGAAATTAGGTAGTTGCAATTATTCCATTGATTGAGCTCAAACTTCAAATTTTTTTTTTTTCGAACTTTATGACGCATCCAAGCTATCATATTTTACATCAAATAGTAGTAAGGAATTGTGATCACCTTGTATCAAAAGTAAATGGTCTCATTGTATACAATCCCTTTTTATATATATACTTTAGAAGCTTAGATATGTTTTAAATGCAGATTTCAAGGCCCACACATTAATATGTTTTAATTCACTGTTTCTATTTTTTTTTTAATAAAAAAAATTAACTATTTTATTTATATCAAGGTTGAAGAAAGAAGTACATGAGATAAAAAATTAAGCTTCTCACAAGCCGGGAGCTCACTTTACAAATAAAGACATGATTTTTATAAGCCCATGTAGAAATGTGTCGACTATTAAAAACCCATTTTAAGATGGATTTTTTGACCCAATTTTTAAAGAGATGCATTATTATCTAACATGGAGATCATGAATATAAAATATACAGAAATTTTAAGAAATAAAAATAACAATTTTATGAAGAAAATATTTAAACCGTTTAGTTTCAATTGTTTTTAGATGACCACCTATTTAGATCCATCTTTAAAATGGATGCTTTATATCTTGGGACTGTATATTATAGAAATGCAGTCCAACCCGCATGAAACAATTCTCCTACAAACGATAAGCATCCCAAAAAAAGGGTGCTCAGTACATCAATATAAAGGCCACCATAAGAAAAACCAGTACAAAAAATCACAAGTGGGTTGTATTCATTTCCTTGTTATATGGAGAATAAAAAAGTGATATTGCGGTGAATGACAAATAATATAGAAATAGATTATTTATAAAGACAAATAACATGGAAATCGATTATTTATAAAGACACTAGTTGCCTTTTGTACAGGGAAGTCACAACTATTTTCGCTCAATAAATTAGATGTCTTAATTTGGAGGTGAACCTTTTACCTTTATCATTGAAAAAGGAAAAGGTTTATATTGGGAAGCTCTAAACATTATCATTGAAAAAAGAAAAAGTTTATAACACGAGGCTCTAATCAATCAAATTAGTACGTACCTCAAAAATTTCACTAGAAGAGGTTATTTTGATGCTCAAATATCATCAAATTGATCATCTCGACCCCAAGATGCATGTACATGAGAAAAAAATGGACTTTAAGTTTTAAAAATAATGCATCTTGTAATGTATTTTTGAACCATCAATTTTCAAGATTTTCAAATTTTTATAGATCCGCCGGATATAAAGCATTTTTAAAGCTTTAAATTTTACGATTATAGTTTTGAAACCACATTTCATGACACTGTTTCAAGGTGCGCTTTACTTCGATTGTTTCGAGCGTCTGTTTATACAAACTGCACCTAACGAGGTTTTCTTCCGGGGGTACGAAAACGTACAATTTGGTCATGCGAAAGCCATCGTATGCGCCATTCACGATATGCAACTCCATTTCAGTCAGTCGCTTCATAAGCTCCCATTTGCATCCCTCCATTGTTGATTTGCGTTTGGGTTCTCTGATGCTACAGAGTAATGGCGAAGCAGCAGCCAGAAATAGGATTAGGGCGTGAATTTTTCACGCCATTGTCGAGATTTGGGGTTTTGGTCGCGCAGCTTGAGTCCATTGTGGCCTCTGCGCCACAACAACCCCCTGATCCTCTCCTCTGCTTCGATCTCCTCTCAGATCTTGTCTCCTTCTTAGACGATGAACCGAAGGTCCTCTCTCTTTTTCTCTCTTCTTCGCGTCTTGCAATTGTATTTTCTCTTTCTATTTTTGTTTCATCCACGGTCTTCTCTCTCTCCTCTCACATTTCTTATGGGTTCTATCTGTCTATCATTTTCCACTGAACTTCTCTGTAACTCCCTCCGCCCCTCTCTCTGTCAATCCCACTTAACTTCTCTGTAACTCCCTCCTCCCCTCTCTCTGTCAATCATGTTTCATGGGATGCCCTCTCTCTCTTCGTTAGCTCCTTCTCTGTCTAAGTGAATGTCTACTCTGTATCTTTCTCTGTCCAATTTTGCCTCACCCAGTCCCTCTCTCTCTATATATCTCATTCTATAATCCCCTCCCTCCCTCGCTCCCTGTTTTTCTTGTGTATTCATTTAGGAGCTTTCTCTCTCACATTTCATCTAAGCTGTCTCTCTTTCTCTCTCTATGCTTTCAGTCTCACTCGATCCATGGCTTCTGTCATGTCTCAATTGTGCACACATTTTTGGATCTTGCTTATAGACATTAAAATTCACATATTTGATCTTTAATGCACTCTCTCTTGTTTTCTTTTTCTTTGTTGCTTCAAAGGGCTCAATGAACTGGTCCTTCTCATAGTGGTATCTATTTAGTTTCTGCATTCTTAAGATCATTCACAACTTCCAACTAAGTATTTGAATGTGAAAATGGTGACTTTTTGGTGTAGGAGTCAGTTTTGGTTTGGCAAAGGAAGTGTGAAGATGCTCTCTTCTCATTGCTCGTTCTTGGTGCTCGACGGCCCGTAAGGCGCCTTGCTTCTTTAGCAATGGTTAGAGTTATAAGTAAAGGAGATGAAATCTCAATATATTCCAGAGCCAGTTCAATACAAGGTTGGCTTTCAGAGTGGAAACGAAGCGATCCTCTTGCTTATGCTGGTTAGTATTTAAATTTTGAGATTCTATATGATTTTTTCTTTATTGACTTGTATTGTCTTTCTTGTGCTGGTTGAGGTCTAAATATAGAAATATATTTACATTTTGGAAGTTTTAATTTAGTTTTATTTTTCTTGGGTTTTAACATTTTGTAATTCCTTCAAAGTATTGATTCGTGCCTGCGCTATCTATATGGCATTTCATCATGCTAACATGCTCTTGTTTTTGGCTGCATGAAATGTTTGTTTTGGCTTCTTATATATACACATCATTCGACATTTCGTTTTACCATGTCCATGAGAAGTGAATGATCTTCAATTCACTGCTCTTTTTTGTAGCATACTATATTTGTCTTTTGATTTAAGTGAGTTAAATCATGGACTTTAAGTATAGCAACACTAAAAATATTTCTATTCATTTAGTTGTTTGTAGGATGTGCATTTGGTGGCCCTTTTTTAAATTTGGTTAACTTGATTAAGTATATCAGAAAAAATGGTGCTTTTGTTGAATTAAGATCTATGGGTTTCATGTTATTCATAGAACGAGAATAACACATGTCAGTGACGAATAACTTATCTGTTATATACTAATTTACAATGGTTTTGTAGGCGCTGCACAATGCTTGGGAGAGTTGTACGGTACATTTGGAAGGAAGATTACTTCAGGGCTTACGGAAACTGCCAACATTGCTGCAAAACTGATGAAGTTTCACGAGGTATCTTAGTTATGCCTAATTGTTTGTTTCCATCCTACTGCATACCTTTTTCTTTTGAAAATCTAGAATTTTATCTGGTAGTATTTATTCCCACGAAGTATAACATTCAGGACACATTCTCATGCTACTTTTTTTTTTGTGCTTGATGTGGTATTTTATTAAAATTTTGGATTTAGAATCAACATGCTTCCATAACACAATATTCTTCCTCACTGGTCCAACCAGATAGCATTCAATACATGATTCCTGCCCATATATGGACTCTTAAAATCTAAAGTTGGGTAAATACTATTCGGTAAACACTTAGGCCCATCGTCACTTTCAATGGTATGTAATAACAAAAAAAGAATACATCAATCATGGATTCACAAGCATGGTTGCCCAAGACATTTGCCACTAAATTAGCTTTGTGAAAAATAAGAGATTGGGTCCATCTAGACCGGCCTAGCTCATGCCTGAACGTAAATAGCGATTTCCACATGTTTAAGGGTTGCTGTGGCGTATCATTGGTTGCTTATCATTTATCATCCAGACCACTTTTGTTACTCATCATGAAAGCATCCACTGATGCTCATACGCCTTGCATTATATTTTTCGATTGACTATAGTAGAAAGGTAAATCACAAATCCATTGCTTTATGGTATCTAATGCCTCCAACACATTGAGTTATACGGTGATTACTGGCTCCATCAACATTAGATGGCCTTCGCCAACCTCTAGACTTTCAGTGCTTTGCGCAGATTAACCTTGATGCCCCCGTAATCAAGAGTCAATTGATTATTTCACTCATTCATCCCATTTGGAGTCTGATCTTTGACCATATCTTGCATGAAGGGCTGACCAAAATTTTCATTTTAGAAACTGGGGAACACAATTTCTTGACGTAGTTGAATTAATTTTGCATATAATGTGGTGATGGGTAACTTAAGTACAAGAACTATGAAGTTAGCTAATGTAGTGTATTTTAAGGTATTATATATTGAGCTTCTTTATTTGTTCTCAAATTATGTATGGTGGGTAATCATGTTTTCAATAAATTTGGTTGCTTGTTCTTAGAACTATATTCAATTGAACTTATCTCAAAACAAACCTTCTTACAATTACCTTTCTAGTCCCTTTTCGTTATCACTTATGTCCTTCTTGAACTAACTTATTTTGAATATCTATGAAACATACCTATCCTTCGCAACATCCTCAACATCACCTTTCCCTCTCCTGAAATTCCAAGTTACTCTCTCCTTCTTATAGCAAAAGTCCCAATCCATTCAGTGACTCATTTTTCCGAACTACCTTTGCTCACTTTGAGTCTAGTTCCATAATCAGATGTTCCTTGCTTGGGCTGACCTAGAGTCATTTTTTAATGCTCCTTGCAAAATACTAGCAAACTAGGTATTGGATGAAGTAGCATAGAGTTCCGATATAAAAACCATCAGCGATGGCGGCTTTGCATATTTTAGTTTTTCTTTTTGAAGAAGAAAATTAAATTACTTATGTGGGAAAAGGCTTGTTCATACTCTTCTTTGGCACAAATGGCTGTGTTGCAGATTCTAGTTTTTCTTTTTTGATGAAAAAAATAAATTACGGAAAGGCTTGTTTCGTACTCTTTATTGGCTCAATATAAAAGCTACCACTAGATGTTACTCGATAGAGGTTTGGAAGTGCATGGGATTGGCATGTTGTGGCTGACCAAGCTGTTCAACAACATGTTGAGAACAAAGAAAATGCCAGACGAATTACAAAATATCAAGGGATGAAACTTATGAGTCATACTATGCAGCTGTAGGAGAGCGTGCTTGAGCAATGACTAAAACATGAAACAAATGTATCAGAAAATCAATTCGGCTTTATGCTAGGAGGTTAACAATTGAGGTTATTTTTCTACTTAAGCAACTGTTTGAGAAGTTTAGAGAGAAGGTAAGAGACTTCCATAAGGTCTTTATTGATTTAGAGAAAGCATTCAATAGGGTACCTAGAGAGTTACTTTGGGTATTGATTTGAAAGATAAATGAGTCTCTAAAGAATATATTGATGTGTGAGAGATATATACAAACTAACCAGTGTGAGGACAACTAGTGGAGAGATAAGTGAATTTTCAGCGACAATAGGCCTACATTAGTGGTCAGCATTGAGCCTATATCTCTTTGTTTTGGGTATAGACAAGCTAGTTAGGCATCTACAGGATGAGGTACTGTGGTGCATGTTGTTTGCAGATGACATAGTTTTGATTCATCAGACTAGAGGCAACAATAACGCAAACTTGGAACTTTGGAGGGAGGCTCTAGAATCTAAAGGTTTTAAAATTAGTCGGGCTAAGACAAAATATATAGAATACAAGTTTAGTAATAATAGGAGTAGAAATGAGGAAGTAGTTAAGATTGATGACCAAAAAATATCTAAAAGTGATTATTTTTATACCTTGGGTTGATAATCTAGGAGAATAGAGAGATTGAGGAAGATGTCACACGTAGAATTAGAGCTGGCTGAGCAAAGTGGAGATGTGCATTTGGAATTTTATGTGATCACCGCACACCAATGGAACTAAAGGGAAGTTTTATAGGATAACTATAACACCAACTATGCTTTATGAGACGGAATGTTGGGCAGTCAAAAAAC